TCTTCAACAATTTTGTGAATGTTAATCTCATTTCCTCTTACACAGAAACTTATACCTTTTTGATAAGCAACAAAACAAACTAAAAAATACGAGAGTGATGGCACTTTTCACTGCATAGTAAAATGGATTGGTACACATAAATTCGTTCTTACACTGAAAAACATATTTAAGATTGATGTTAATGAGGTAGCCAACTCCCATTGAAGCAAGCCACATTCCAACCATCATTCCTCTCATTTGTACTGGAGCCTGAGCTACAGTGAACTCCAATGAGGCTGCAAATATTAAAGCAAATGCTATGCCAAAGAAAAATTGTGGAATAATTAGGAACAGAGAAGTGCTATCAGAATGATCAGATGGCAGTGAAAGGAAGATTGCAGTTTTTGCAAACACTGTGCCAAAAGAAAATACCAGCCCAATTCGAATCCTAATCAGCATTCTAGGAACGAGCCTTTTAAATATTGGTTGGAACAGCAAAAGGTAAAACAGAAAAAATATAACCGAGGTGAAAAAATTTGCAAATTCAGTTGATATCAAGCAGGACCCATAGCTCATTTCTATATTTTGATTTCTAGACATTATCCAATGATAAACTTCATCATTAGTTGTCAATCCAACAACAGATATTAATAAAGGCAGCATCCGAAAAACTGTTTTTACGTCTTCTACCTCTTCCTCTGTGAATGGTCCACCATATCTATCCTTACCCAGGTCTAGTCTTGAAGGAGCCTCTTCCTCCCAGTAGGTCAGAGCACTACGATTCTCAGGATACTTGTGCTTCCTGGCATAACACAATACTTTAACTATTAGCTTGACCGGATTCTTGATCAGTGATATGTTCTCCAGTTTGTGTTTGAAGAATGAATGAGAAACTACTACAAGAAACAGAGATAGTCCAGCAGATACAAACGTTATCAGGAAAATGTAATCATTCCTAATTGCACATCGTACCAGCTGAAAAATAGAAAATGAAATAGGAACGGAGGCTGAATGCCAATAAATTACTGCACTCAACTCATCAGCTGATGCTCCAACAAGCTGATCAATGTTATACTGAACAATGCTTGCCTTAAAGCTCGTGTAGCCAGAAACCCCGGTGATATAAGCCAGCCCGTACAACAACAAAAGAAGAGTATTGTCAGTGTAGAAACCATGAATGACAAAACCTATCCCTGAAAATATCCACGATGTGAAACATAGTATTATACCAGCCATGATTGCTCTGTACCTACCAACACGTACATCAGCCAGCAACCCAAATAAGGGAAAAGAGAAAAATATCAAACAATACAATACGTCAAGGATGACTCCTTTGGTCCCACCCTGACCAGCTCCAGTTGATGTAAAGAATCTCATTACGAGAACCTCAAAATACATCAAATATTCCCAAATAAGGACAAGAATTGCTACATTAGAAGTAAACACGTTTAGATTAGACCAATACCTCCTTAAACTGCAACCCTGGCAGAAAGTACAACTGGAATGACCCTGATTCATATTAAATGATGGATCGACCTGACAATTAAAATTGCAAGTAGAAATGATTTTAAAATAGATTTCAAATCATGCTCATGTGTTAAAGCATGCAAAGGGACTCACCACTGGAGCACCAGAAGGACCGGGTTACAAACTGAGTCAAAAACCGACGAATTGGCACCGAGTGGGCGTTAAAATGATCACGTGATTTCATCATTTCAAGTATGACATAATTATAAATTAAAATAAAACATGCAATAATAAGGTAAAATTTATAATAAAGCAGCAGACTGCAGTTATATTTTCTCTATTATCAATCTTTAGTCATCCTAGAAAATAAAATGAAATAAAAACCCACCATATTAATTATCTCACCCATTCATCGCTATCAACTCCATCAACATCATCCTGAGGCAACGGCTCGTCATCTTTGTCCCCCATCTTATTTATCATGGCAGCAATCAGCTCTTCCTTCTTCTCCTGGTCACTTTTCTGATGCAAGACCTTCGAAGAATATTTCAGAACATTAGAGCCAGGAGCAGGTTTTGGAGCCTCACTCACTAAAAAATAAATAAAAATTAAAATAAATAAAAAAATATAAAATCTACTAAGTTTGTGTTAGTTTATTTTTTGTGTTTAATTATTTATTTATTTATTAATTTCTTTACAAGGTTTCATTCCTTCTGGTTTCAAGCTAACAGTTTCGAGGGAGCCATTAGCTCCATCAAGCCATTCTCTAGCTCCAATGCCAGCCTTCCAAGTGACTAGGGTATCGCAGAATAAATCATCTTGAAAATATTCAGTCTAAAAATAATACAAACAAGAAATAAAAATTATCCTCTTGAATCTTTAACGAGCAAAATTATGATTAATACTATAATATACGCAGTAATTTGTTTGAAGTTAAAATCCTTATAATTAAGAGTTAAAATATGTACCTTAACTCGTGGTATCTTAAAACCAATAGGTTCAACTGTAGAGCTGCAAAGTCTCACTCCGCGACACACTTCGACCTTCTTGACGTCACAGATATCCTTAGGATCAGGAAGGAACTGAATGTCTTGATGAGCGGTCGGGAGCGAGAAAAGAGAAGCAGAGAAAAGATACGGTTTATCGTTGGGAGAGAACTCAATCGTATTAACTACTCTGTCACCCTGAAAGGAGAAGTGCCATGATTATGCCAAAATATTAAATGGGATATTTTTATATTTTAAATGGCCATAACTTGAAAAATTGAAGTCAGAATCAGCTCAAACTTTCTACATAGTATAAAGACATCAATGTGTATCAAAAAATGTAATAAAAATTGGGGGTGATTTCGGAGCCATTTTTTCAAAAAAACCATGGGCTATAGTACAGGGATTTTTTCAGATTTTTGCGCATTTTTTAAAATGGCCATAACTTGAAAAATTGAAGTCGGAATCGGCTCAAACTTTCTACACAGCACAAGGGCATCAATATGTATCAGAAAATGTAATAATAATTGGGGGTGATTTTGGAGCCATTTTTCCAAAAAAATTATGGGCTAGGAATTTTTTCAGATTTTGGCGCATTTTTTTTAAATGGCCATAACTCGAAAAATTGAAGTTGGAATCAGCTCAAACTTTCTACATAGTATAAAGACATCAATGTGTATCAAAAAATGTAATAATAATTGGGGGTGATTTCGGAGCCATTTTTCCAAAAAAACCATGGGCTATAGTACAGGGATTTTTTCAGATTTTGGCGCATTTTTAAAAATGGCCATAACTCG